ATCTCTGGACTCTGCAACCGACACGCCTCCTTCGCCGTCTTCCTCACTACTAGTCAGCTGGCCCTTTGGACGACCATGAAAATGACTGTGCCGGATCCTCTGGTGTTTTCGGTCCTTACTGGGGATAGTGACTTGTCTACGCCGGTGCCCTTGTTCGAGAAATTCCCCCCTATCTGTCTCGCGATCCTCCATTCCGAGCCGGCCAACATCTTTGAGTATTTTCCTATCCTGGGTGCTGAGAGACGCCTGGACGCAAAGCGCGCCATCATCAAGTTGTGTCTTGAAACATATCCCAATACTTCCTGGAAGCTGGCACATTCCCTTCTCACAACGTGCAAACTCATGCCGGTTTCTGGCAGGGTTAACTCCTACATATACGGACGTCACTTGAAACTCAAGGAGATGCGCTGCTTGTGGTGTATGTCGATCAGCTGCCTCACCAGCTGCAGCATCCTCGCTGCTAGCGGGTACTCTACAAGCCGCGCGCTAGCTTTCATCCGGCGACCCAGCTATCTTTTGTAGTTATGTAGGCATTCATGTCCGTCTTGAATCTGTGTGCCTAAATTATCATCGCGCGGTGAATATGCGGTCCAGTATAACCTCGCAAATGGAGCACGCGGGATGTGGCAACATGTGCGCTGACAAATTGATGAATTCTTGATATGGCACCAGGTAAGCCAAGCTTCGTGGTATCCGGATCTGTCCTAAATTGTCTACGTTAGAGAATGTGTGGCGAATATGGAAGGGAATGTGCGGAGAATGCGTGGCTCTGTGAGAGGATGAACACGCATTCTCCTTTCTCGGAGAATGTGGCGGGAATGTGGGGAGAACGTGGTGGGAATCTGCTCATTGCCGCCGTGTTCTCCTCCCTCCGAAATCTGACGTTTCACGCGGTGTGATGTCCACCACGCTGTCCCCATAGATGTTGTTATCGCGTCAGACGCCAGCAGCCAGTAGCCCGCAACCCGTGTATGCCGGTGCGTCGCCAAACTATGTGATTACGTTGTCATTCATACCGACCCTTGTTCGATGAACCCATGCTCAGCCACCTTCAAGTGAGGCTACAACGACAATGGTTGCGACGTTGTTCGCCCCCGAGTCGCACGGTATTCCCTTAGCGGACGGCGAGGCGATGTACCGCCCAGGTCAGAAGCTTTCAAACCGAATGATGGCTGTCAAGTACTTCTCACAACGGAGACACTGACTCGGTGCTGTGTCCGACGTCGCGACAGCCTGTCTAAAGGTACGTTCACTTCGACTGCGTAGATCTTCACGTGCTCGGCACAACCGTAGCGCCCTCGCGCTCGAGGAAGACGCTTCACTCAGGATAGGTGAAGAGATTGTTTCGAAACAACTTAGCCGTTTGCGCATGCCTTGATCAGCAGACGATAGTCCACGTCCAAGCATAGCATCGTACTTGCGCAGAACCTAGAGGCTAGAGGCCAGATTCGCCCCCGTTCGGACCAGACATGTGCTCGGCTGGGTCAGACCCGGGTCAGACCCCTCCTTGACCCAGGTCAGACCCCTCCTTGACCCAGGTCAGACCCCTTGGGGTCAGACCCTGGGTCAAGCCAAGGCAACATCAACGTCGGAGCTTCCGGGCACGTGAACCGCCGGGTCGGCCGGCCGTCCGCCACTCGCTGCTCGCTGCTCGAGCTCGGGCTCGCCTTCAGCGGCCACGAACCCGCCTTCTAATTGCCAAGTTCTTGCCAGTTCCAATTTTTCTTTCCAACTGTCCAATGTCTCGGCCATCCATAAGCGGGGGAGTGAAACCGATGGTCTTCAGGAACGCTGCGAGAGACTTGCCACAATGGAGATGGATGCCGACCCAGAGGAGCGTGTCTGGGAAACACCTCCAAAACCAGCGAGAACTCAGAGAGGTGCAAGGTGTAGCATAGTTAGCATATCCCGTCGTCATCGTGGCATCTGAGTCTTCATCTGCCTTCACTCGAGGTGGGCAATTTCACCCTGCAACTTGAAGGCGCCCTGCCCGCGCTCCCGGTAGTACGCGGTCGACTATTCTACGCGAGGGCCGACCATGCATCACGTGTTGACCCCTCGAAAAGGTCAGACCCGGGTCAGACCCCAAGTCAGACCCCGGGGTCAAGCCGAGAGGGTCAAGGGGTCGAGTCTTGACCCGCACACCTCTGGTATTTGGCATGCAGTTCGCTTTGTCATGATGGCTCCTTCCTTTCTCGTGGTCACGGCACCGTATGCCGAGGTCTACGGACTGTCTACGGCCTGTTAGAGATTTAGAAAGGGGGGTCGACCCCCCTCTAGATTTTGACGTCCGTATCCTAAATTTCATCAGCGGAGTTCAGATCTGGTGTCGGCAACACTGCCCCTTGCCCAAATCGGTCTGTTTAGAGATTTACGGACGTCCGTAGAGCCGTAGATAGCTTAT